CCCCTCCCCAACAGCAAAGAGAAAAGAATCAATATACATTCTAGGAGCCTCTTAGTGTGACATCTCTCCATGATACACTGTGAATGTGGAACTATAAGCTGAATTAAACTCTTTCCTCCCAAGCCGGTTTTTTTTTCTTTTTTTTTTTGGTCGTGGTGTTTTATCACATCAATAGAAACCTAAGAAAGGCAGTGACCTCTTCGTGTGATGTATGATGTAACCTCTGCCTGCTTTCTAGATAAGAGACTGGCGACCAGGACTTCTCTCCTTAGGCCTGTCCCCAGCACATCATAAAGTCATTGACCCAGCTGATTTCTGGGAGTTTGCTCTTGTTGGTGGCAGTATCAACTTGATACAACTTCAAGTCATCTATCGAAGGAGGACAACAACTAAGAAAATGCCCAGTAAGGTTGACTTGGAGGCAAGCCTGTGGCGCATTTCCTTAACTAGTGATTGATTGTGAGGACCCAGAGTGCTGTGGGCGGTGCCATTCCTGGGGAGGTGATCCTGGGGTGTCTAGGAAAGCAGGCTGAGTAAGCATGGAGAATCAGCCAGTGAGCAGAATTCCTGATTCCATTCCTGCCCTGACAGCCCTCCATGATACACTGCGAATGGGGAACTGTAAGCTGAATTAAACTCTTTCCTCCCAAGCCAGTTATTTTTTTTTTTTTTTTTTGGTCGTGGTGTTTTATCACATCAATAGAAACCTAAGAAAGGCAGTGACCTCAGGCCTCGCCAGGCAGGTCATCATCGTCGAAGCACAGCTTGGTCCAGGGAGATGGAGACACAACTGTTCATTTCCTAGACTTGGACTCTGAGCACCAAAGACAGTCCCAGAAGTTTCTAGACTGAGGAGAAGCAGACCTTCCAGCTGACCACCACCCAAGGCATTTCCTGTGAGCAAATTGGACCAGTACCATTCATACCTCAGTGCAGTAGCCAAGGGCTTTGGTTGCCTCAGCAACACCTGAGTGCTCGCTATGCACACCCCTGGGCTCTATACATATGACTGCTGAGTCGCAGCTCAGGGAGGGGTGGGATGTTTGAATTCCAGCTTTTGGAGTCATTTGGATTTCAGAACAGCAGCCAGCTCTGGACTAGGCCTGAAGGGCCTTCCTGGATGATGCATCCTGGAGGGTTTTGACCAAAGTGTGAAGATACAGCCTAGAATAAAGCATGCTGGGAAAAAAAAAAGAGGAAGATCTCGTACGTGCTCCCAGCAGCACAGCTGCCTGCCCTCCAGGTTCCTGGGACTCCTTCCTCCTTCATCCAGACTTGATCCATTCTTGATTTGTAGCTTTGAAGCTCCAAGCCTAACCTGTTCCCAGTGCCAGGAATGTGGCTCCACACCCACTTTGCCCTGAGGGTTCCACACAGACTCTTTCATAGCTGACCAGACCATCTGACTTTATTCAGAAGCACCCCTTCTGATCTCTCTCAGCCTCCACCACACCTGCATAGAATCCACCCTTGGTGCCTGATACTCAGTTGGCAGGACATGGGGTTCCCCTGCCAGACCTGGGCATTGAGAGCACCCACAACTCCCACAATGCATTGCACACAGTTAGGTTGCTCTCTCTCTCTCTCTCTCTCTCTCTCTCTCTCTCTGTGTGTGTGTGTGTGTGTGTGTGTGTGTGTGTGTGTGTGTGTCGTGGGTCTCTGTGTGTTGTATGTGTATCTCGTGTGTCTGTATGTTCTGTGTCTGTGTGTCTATGTGTCTGGGTGTGTGAATGCTCTGACCCACTCACTCATGGGTCATCAAGGATGGGGTCTGTGACAGTCTATGAGGAAGCTACATCGTCAACTCACAATCAGAAAGGGTTCCTGTTTACTCCTTCACTCTTTTCTCTGAAGTTCTGGAAGGCTAGCCTGGAGCTGATCTCTTAAGCTGGGCCAGGAAGGCCTGACTAACCTCTCCTCCGTTTCATTCCCCGATACACCCACCCAGACCAGCCTCTGGCCAAGACTGTCCTGTCAGCATGACACACATCAGGTCTACCTATGACTCTCAGTCATGCTCAGCCTAGCTAGCTCAGCTAGGCAGACATCTACAGTGACCCAGATTGCAGGCATAAGAGTTGTCCAGGGCTGTTCCGTGAACAAAGGCATGGGCTCCTCCCTCTGTGAGGACCCTGGGAGCCTGCCCCCCACAGCCAGCCTCTGACAGACACCACACAAGGAACACTGTCCAGCATGATAATTTAGGAAGCAGGACCTGTGGGTTCAGAGTCCTAACCCCCAACAAGCTATGCTCACATCCCTGGAGCCTCAAGATTTCAGCGGCCTCCTTGGTCATGTGGGGACCAGGCCTTGTCTGCCTAAACACAGTACATAAGTGGCCCAGATGACCTACTCTACACACAAAATACAGATTTAAAAATGGGGCTCCCCTGAGTTTCCCTCATCCTTAACCCCTTAAGTGACACTTGCTTCATTTGCTCCCTGTTGCTCCAGCCTCAGGGAACTTGTCCATGTTCCTTCCTCTGCCAATAACCCTGTCCCCCTTAAACATGTCACCTACAGCTAAAACTTGGCAGGGAGAGAGAGCAACCAGGAAGGATTACATTTATGTAATGATGTGTCAGAGGAAATTAAAAGATAATGAAAATCAGAAGTCCTGGGAGACTTTGATCCCTTTCCTGGTCTCTCTAATAAAAGGCTTGGGTTCTCGCCACAGCTGCATCAATGACACTGGAGATTGTTCCAGACCCACAAAGACCTGTCATCGGTTTACAAGTAGAAAGGGCTCTAGGCTATCCTTTCCCTGAGCATGGTGTGTATGAAGGGGGTGGGGGTGCTTAAGTGGGTTTGACTACAGATTTTCTTCCTTAATTTCAGATCTGTAGCTTGTTCAGTGAACTGTTTCCAAGGGCTCCCTGGGCATTAATTGGGGATGGTATATTCTCCCTAATCATGGAGCTTGTCCAGCAGCTAGCTCTGTGAACAAAGGCATGGGCTCCTCCCTCTGTGGGTCTCTGGGAGCCTGGCTCTCACAGCCAGCCTCTGACAGGCACCACACAGGAAAATTGTCCTGGCCGTGTGACCTAGGAAGCAGGCTCTGTGAATTCAGTGTCCCACCTCACAAGCCCACAAACTCATGTGCCAATGAAGCCTCTCACCGGCTTGAACATGGATACACAGATGACCTGTTACGCATCCAAATTAAAGAATGACAAACTATGAGTCTCAGTCCTAATTCTCTGCTGATTCTACTTATACATGAAGGGTCTGATTTGATTAGCCAATGAGGAAGTAGCTATGTGACTCTATGTCACACTTTCTCCTGTCTGCTCAGGACCCAGTAGAGCATCCTCAACAGAGAGCTTGTAAAGCACCCTATGGAAGAAGGTTCTAGAAGGTAAGGGACCCTGTATAAATCGGAAGGCTCAGGATATAATAAACAACGGACTAGTCTCATCAGCACCCGACCAGAGCCCAGAGTGGTAGCTCGTTATGTCCCTGAGCCAGACTCCAGCATTCCGGAGAGTAAGCCCTGTGACCAGTAGGTTCCCTGTTGCCACTTGTCTCTGCTGAGATGGCCACAGGGTTAGCTGCTTCTACAATTGCACAACACTAGGGCAGGTGGCCCAGAGCTCCTGGGGCCAGCCTTACCTTTAGGATCATTCTCCCCTTTGCCCATAGCCTGAGGCCAGGTCAGGAGTTGACTCTAGCTCCTCCCTGGGCCCCTGATCCCGGCAGAGTGATGGGGGTAAGTGCTGGTCTTCCTGGAGGACTCAGAGCAGGGATCAACTGATCAAGAGAGAAAGAATGGCTAGGTTGCAAGGTGAGGCCACACTGCTTTGCTTCCCTGCGAGCCACAGGGAAAAGTGTGGTGCGGGTATCTTGACTTGTGTGCAGGGAACCACAGTGTGTGCCTGGCACTGTGCTAAGAGCTTTCCCATACCCCTTTGCTTTGACCCCACATAGCAGAGGAGGAAGGTGAGGGCTGAGAAGATGATAGCACTATTTGAAGTTAGACCCCATGCTTGTCTATTTACAAGTCCAGGACTGTAATCTCAAATTGAACACTATGCCTGTCCATAGGACTGTATACCTGGCCTCAACTCCCCAAGAGCAGGCTCTGAGCTCACCTCTACTCTGTAAAACGAGGGGCCACCAAACCTACCCTGGCCAATTCAAAGAGCTTGGCTAATTCTGGGGCATCCTGAAGCCATTGGACCTGGCTGGGATCACCTTCCTGCCTTCCATCCGTCAGCAATGATAGCATCCAGCTGGACCGGTGAGTCAGTGCCTTCATTCTCCTGTATCTGGGAGGGTAGGCCTCTCCTGCTGTCGGTTTGGCTCCATCAGCCTGTGTGGGGGTGCCCTGGCAGCCAGGCTGCCATCAGCCAGGCCCTGGGGCTTGGCAGCCTTCCTAAACTCTAGCACGGGGTTTGTCTTTTCCCTTAACCCATCAGCCTCTTCTCTGGGATCAGAGAACCGTTTCTAGATTCCTCTGGCCACTTCAACCATGTCCTGGACCAGGCTGTGGTGGCTTCTGGTACATTGAGTGCGTGGCCTCTGTCCTGGCCTCAGCAGAAGCCTCCCAGAGCACACAGCCAGGCACAGAGCCTATTTCCCAGAGCACACAGCCAGGCTCAAAGGCCAACCTGCTGTTTTAGAGCCAGCCTGAAACATATGAGGAGAAGGGACTGGGCAAAACCGAGCAACAGAGAAGGACGTGGATCTTGGCTGGACCTTCAGGTGGGATGTGTGGGAGGGTAATCTACAGTTGGATTGGACGGTGCAAGTAGGCGCAAGACCATCTGCTGAGTGCCAAGGCAAACATCACCCCACATGCTAGGGTGGCCTTCACCTTAGAGGGAGGAGACAGAGCGGCAGCCTGCGTTCCAGCAAGGTGGCAAACTTTCAGGTCCCGTTGTTCATCTACAAGACGGACTTAATAAAGCCAGGCTTGTTCTATGCAGTTTCGGCCATTTCCACAGAGGGCCTGGCCAAAGGCCTGCGTGTCAGCAGGCTGCCAACATAGACATTTCTTTACACCTTGTGTGTTGCCCAACAAGACCTGTGCCATCTTCTATTGGTCCCTTTCCATGTTCATCATCCTTGAATGAGGAAGAACCTAGAGGCATTTTGCACAAGGCATGCCTTGCCCTGAAGTGGGGCACCTCTCGGGAAACAGAGAGAGCATTGTGCCGTCCCACAGACCCGCCCCTCAACACACTTGATCCTGTGAAGGGTCTGAGATCCCAAGTGGGAACTGCAGTCTTGCTGATATCATGTTACGACTTCAGTCGTTCTCTCTGGGAATCAAGGAGGCACTAGACGCTGTGGGTGGCCACCCTCATAGTCTCTACCCAAAAAGCCCACCGGGGGGGGGGGGGCGGCGGGGGAGAGAAAGAAATATGCAAATGGCCTCTAGCTCAGACAGATGGCCAACAGTCTATGTACGCTGCTGCATCATTGACCTGTAGACTCTTAGTTGTGGTAATTATCAGTGTTACTCACTCTTGGGGCTCCAAAGGATGAGCAGAAGTTTTCAGGGGAGACAGGATCTGAAGACCCTAAGCTCTAACAAGGAAGAATATGCCTGGGCTGGCATGGGTTGACCTGGGGCAATCCCTCTAGGGAATGCAGGTGTTCTGAACAGCCTAGAGGCACAGGTGTATGAGGCCCACATGGGACAACCATCAGGAGACATGTGGGTACCCTATGGCCTGTATCCCGGCCTTCCAGGAACTGGTTGGATGAGACAAGACTCACCCCTAACATATTTAAAGAGCAATTTTTTTTTACCTGAAGATCTCCAATTGTGGGCGTGACATGAAGTCTGATGTCACTCTCCTCGGGTGGTGCTGCCAGCCCTTCTGCGAATGAGAGAGATGAGCACACAGTTTCACATACTATATCCAGAGGCAAGGTCACCCCCCTCTTTACCTCCTTCACACACAGCCTATCTCCACTAAAGAATCTCTCTCTCTCTCTCTCTCTCTTTCTCTCTCTCTCTCTCTCTCTCCATCTCTATCTCTATCTCTCTCTTTCTTTCTCTCCCTCCCTCCCTCTCTCTTTCTCTAAAGTTTATTTATTTCCCTTTGTGAGGAAGGCTTGCATGGATGCTGTGTAGCGCGTACTGAAGCCTGTGTTGACAATGAGAGTTCTTCTCCTAGGTTTCAGCATTTGAAACACTAGGTCCCCAGTTGGCGAAGCTGTTTGGAAAGGTTTCTGAGGCATGGCCTTGCTGGAGGAAACGCATCACTGGAGAGTGAATTGAAGAATTCACATTCTCATCTCACGTTCGGTTTTGCCCTTCTGCTTTGGGGCTTGAAGTTAAAGGCATGCTCTCTCAGGGTCCTGTTCCAGCCCCCTTGCCTGCCAGTGATTGCCACATTTCCCCACCACGATGGGCTCTTACCCCCTGGAACAGTAAGACAAAATAAACCCTTTCTGGTGTAAGTTGCTTTTGGTTGTGGTTTCTATCACAACAGCAACAGACAGGCAGCTAATCCGTGACCAAGGACAACTGACCAAGCTGGTTCTCTCTTTCCACCATGTGGGGTCTAAGGATCAAACCCATCATCGCCCTTATCTACTGAGCCATCTCGAGCCCTAAAGAATCTCCTTTTTCTTTGGCTTTGTTTTTTGAAACAAGGTTTCTCTATATAGTCATGGCTGTTCTGGAACTCACCCTATAGATCGGTTGAGCCCGCAGTCAGCAATCCACCTGCCTCTGCCTCCCAAGTGCTGGAATTAAAGACTAGGGAATCCCTTGATGTGGGGCCAACTCTTATATTTTGCTGAAGAGGTATTAAGATACAAAGAGTATGGCTTTGCGGCCGCCAAGACAGCTCAGTGATTAAGAACACTGGCTACTCTCCCAAAAGGCCTGAGTTAGATTCCTGATGTCCACAGAGCGGCTCACAGTAATCTGTAATTCCAGTTCCAGGGGCTTCAATGCCCTCTCCTGTCCGTTGCTGGCACCAGACACACATATTGGGCACAAGTATCCATGCAGCCAGAAACCCATACACATAAAATTAAAAACTTTTAAAAAAGTGTTTGACTTTGCATTAGTGACCAGTGAATCATTGAAGAACAGCCTCAATTCCTGCATTCTACCCAAAGGTTCTCCCAATAGACACCTGCTACTGTCACCTACCAATAGACATTCCTGCCTAAGCTGTAGCTCTTAGTGTCCTACCTTAGGATAGATGGACTAGCGTGAACTCTCTGACCTCTCAGCCATCGCTCCTTCCTGACCCATGATTCCTCTTGTTGGAAAACTTCCCATATATCTTTCCTTGTGCCCAGTGCTGCTGTGACCCATACACGTGCCCCATCTCTGTGCAAATCCCCAAGCATATCTTCACCCTTGTCACACACAGACACCATCCTGGTCTAGGGGGGTCTCTCTTATGGCTGTTATGATCACCAAGCTTGCGTGTGGTATACATGGACACTTGCAGGCAAAACACTCTTATATAAAATAAGATAATCTATAAAATGAGAATAATACTTAGGAACACATTTAACCAGAGAGGTAAAAGATCTATACATTGAAAACCGTAAGACATTGGTGAATGAAATTGAAGAAGGAGGAGGAGAAGGAGAAGGAGGAGAAGGAGAAGAAGAAGGAGGAGGTAGTGGAGGAGGGGGAGGATGAGGAGGAGGAAGAGGAGGAGGAGGAAGAGAAGAAGAAGAAGGAGAAGGAGAAAGAGGAGAAGGAGAAGGAGGAGGAGGAGGAGGAGGAGGAGAAGAAGAAGAAGAAGAAGAAGAAGAAGAAGAAGAAGAAGAAGAAGAAAATAAAGATACCCCATGTTCATGGATTGGAAGAATTAATATCCTTAAAATATCTACATTACCCAAATCTACAGTCAATGTTGTCCCTTTCAAAATTCTAATGACAATTTTTACAAAAATAGAGGGAAAGTCCTAAAAATCATATGTGACCACAAAGACTCAGCTGCTCCAAGCATTGTAATACCTCAGCTCAAACTACACTACAAAGTTACAGTAATCAAAACAGCACGGCACTGTCACAATAACAGTGGCAGAGACCAATGCCCAGAATGCCCAGAAACAAATCTATGCTTTTAAAAAACTTAAAATCATTTGCTTTTCATGAAAAGTGTTGCTGGGCGGTGATGGCGCACGCCTTTAATCCCAGCACTTGGGAGGCAGAGGCAGGTGGATTTCTGAGTTCGAGAGTTTGAGGCTAGCCTGGTCTACAGAGTGAGTTCCAGGACAGCCAGGACTGCACAGAGAAACCCTGTCTCGAAAAACAAAACAAAAACAAAACAAAAACAAAAACAAAAGAAAAGAATAAAGAAAGTGTCCCAAACAATTACTAGAAAGAGCAATCCATTCATAAATGACAGTCACACAGAGAAGAATGAGCACAGGTCTTTATCTCATAACACACACAAGCATTTGAGATTGGTTAAAAAGATGTAAATCCACTAGTGTGCGCCCCCTCACACGCTGGCCCCCCGCAGTGGATTTTAGAACAGGGAATGAAGACCCAGGAAGCAAAAGCAAACATGGGATTGACCCAAATTCAAAGGTTCTACAGCAGGGAAGCAACCAATGGAGTGGTGGCATAAGCCCACAGACTGGTATTTGCAAATTGCATGTGTGAAATGGAGTTAATACCCAAAATGCATAAGGAGCTCAAGTAATTCAATTGTAAGAAAACAAATAACCAGTGAAAAATGCCCAAAGGAAGTTCTGTAGATGTGAGTGAGTGGTTAAGTGGCTGCTCTTCCAGAGGACCTGGGTTCAATTTCTAGTACCCACATGGTAGCTCACAACTGTCTGTAACTTCTGTTTCAGGGGATCCAACACTGTCATACAGACATACATGCAGGCGAAACACCAATGCACATTAAAACACTTGCCAAAGGATGTGAACAATCACAGCTCAAAAGGAGCCAAACAAATGTCCAACGGGTGTATTTAAAACAACTACAACCAAACAAACAACAAACACATGTGAACAAGACGGCTCATTGGTAAAGGCACTCGTAACCAAGCTGGATGACCCAAGTTTGGTCTGCGTGACCCCACATAGTGGGTAGAAAGAGCTGACTCCCACAAGTTGTCCTCTGAGCTCCCCACACTTGGATAAGTAAGCGTAATTTAAAAATGTTCAGCATCACTAAAACCATGAGGAAGGATCATCCCACACCTGTTAGGATGGCTGCTGACTAACAGATCAAAGATCGCAAGTGCTGGCGGGATGGAAGAGAGGGCAAAAATGGCTCAGAAAGTTGCATTCTGAGGTAGAGAGACCACCTGTGGGTGGACAACCGCAGGAAATGGAATCTGTAAATGAAAGAGACCTCAGCGTTATTTCTTGTAGCCGAGATAAGGAGTCAGCTAAGCATCCATCAGCGGATCAACGGGTGAAGGAAATGCTGACTGCAAAGCACAATGGGTGGGCTAGGGAGTAAACTAGGTAAGCAAAGTGCTTACCCTGAGCACACATATAAAAAGCAAGGTGTGGTGGTGTGGGGCTGTGATCCTGGGGCTACAGACGGACAGAGGCAGAGACAGGCAGATCCCTGCGGCTCTCTGGTCCCCTTGCTCCAGGCCAGCGAGAGCGCCCGTCTCAAAATGAAAGTGGGCGGAACCAGAAGAACAATATTTGACGTGTCCTCTGGCTTCCATAAAAAGTGTACATGCACACATGCACACACGTACACACACACACACATAGACACAGACAGACAGACAGACAGACAGACAGACTTTTCTTCCTGACTGCCAGGAGCTGATGCCCTCCTTATCCATCCTCCTTGACTCATTCTCATAGCCAGAAAAATATTCTGGAAGAAAATTAGCAAAGGGGTGAGCCACCTCTCCGGCCTTGAGAATTCACGTCCAGCTCTCGGTGTGCTGTATGAAGCTTCCCTGACCATGGCCAATGCCTTCTACCCAAACCACCTCCTCCTGCCACATGCCCACACCCATTCTTGGCCTCAGCTGGGCAAACACACAGCATTCCCAACTGCCCTTAGACCCAGAGGACTAAGATGTGCTCAGACCAGCTTCCTGCCCTTTAACCTCAAGGCCTGCTGGTGGACTTGTTTTTAAATTCCATTCCCTCCACAGGAATGTTCTCCAGGGGCCAAGCCTCCTTCCCGCCTCTGGACTTTTGGAAACCCTCGCACACAAGGGATTCACTGTAGACGACTTCCATGGAAGGCTCCTCGCACAAACAAACATAGTATTTAAGTCATACACGTTTCTAGGGTCTGAAATTAAAGTCGGGGCCAAAGGGAAATACAGGTCTCCCGGAGAAGCAATGTGAGGGCTGGTGGAACACACACACACTCGCACGTGCATGCACACGCACACACAGATGAACAGATAGTTTAGTCATGAGGCCCAACCTACGCTGATATGCAAAGTCTTCAATAGCCCAGAGTCAGAGAATAATGAAAGTCAATGATTGTGCTGGCCACCAGACAAGCTGAGACCAGGTTGTGCCCTACTCTCTACCTATGTCTTGCTTAATGGCGGAGGTCACACAGAGATGCAGCCCTAAAGGACCTGCATTCCTGACTCTTGCAATTAGATTTTCGGTTTTCTAGAACAGTCCTTTCTGGCCTCTATAATTTGTTGGATCGGATAACAGACTGTTTCAAAGTTCAAAAGGGACCAGACTTTGTAAGTCATTTCAGAGAACCCTTATGTATGCTGGAGCAGCAGTACGGGTGGATGATGACAAAGCCTTATAGTCAGCAACCTGGAGGGGGCATCCCATAGCTCTGTGAGCTCTAGACAAAATGCTTAACTCCTCCCGTTCCCTGCTCACCTTGTCTCACTTCTACCGAGGATTCTCATAGCCCTGACTTCCCCAGGCAGGAGCAAGTGACAGGATGTGTGTCAATCACGGAACACATACTGTGTGTTTCCTTAAGATGGTTTGTGTTGGAGCCAGTGAGGTGACTTGGCAGATGAAAGGTGCTGACTGCCAGGCCTGAGGAGCTGAGTTCAGTCCTTGGGGACCCGCATGGTAGAAGAAGAGAACTGATTCTTGCAAGTTGTC